TCACAACTCCAACCAAATACATAATTAGTTATAAATAAACCAGTATGAGATTGCCAGGTCTTTTGACTTAAAGACTTTGATCCAACATTAATTGTTTATTGTCATGGGAAAACTTTGGTTGAAGAATCGATCGGAAATATTCATGTGAGCTTAGCTACCATTTTACAACTAAGCTTGGATACATCAGGCAGAACCTGCAGCAGCTTCTGAGGCAACAAGTTTAGGCCATGGGCCTTCCACCTTTTCTCACGCAGCATAATTTCTAGACTTGTCCCCCACCCCAGAAAAAAACAACAACAACAACAACAAAACCATCATAAGGAAAAGTAAAGTTGTTGTATTTCCTTCCTTTTTATTTACATTTGCTGTCTCTTTATTGCCATTTTTCGGTTTATTTTGTCTAGAAACTTTCAGAATTATTCAAAGCTTTTAAGTTCCATATTTTCAAGTTAGCTATAAATTATAGTTCCTTAACATGATAAGTAGCAGACTTACGTGATCTATCATTTAAATATATTTTTCATGTCAATTTATAAATGATAATTACCACTTTAGGTGATACTAGTACTAAGGTTCGTATATAAATTACCATACAAGGCTAGAGTAAAAAAATCTTTCTCACTCTCTATCTTCTTCTTTAAGTTGTCAATTATTGTATTCGGCTATCCATCTAAATAAAGAAAAATAAATCATAAAGACCACCGCAGTTTTATTTTTTTATCCTATTAAACCCTTGAAGGTTGAATATCAAAGCTAACCACGAGGCTAATGTTACACCCCATCTTGGTGAATATCAAATATTGAAAATGGGACACATCCATGTGAGTAGCCTTAATAATGTAAACCATAATCACCAACTCATGCGTACGTAGGTGTAGAGCTCTTGATTTCGAGCTCCATACAAGAAGACGCGTACATGATGTAAATGTACGTATGAAAATACGCGTAGGTGTAGGTGGTGACAAATTCCAATTTGGAAACGTATATATATATATAGTAGACGACGAGTAGTAGTTTGTTGTTGTTATCCCCACCAAGGTCCAACTAAGCATCCCACGGTTGACTCAATCCTCCTCCTACCATAGTACACACGTGGAGTACACCTGACGATCTCTTTACTTTTCAATGCTCGGCCAAGTTTAAGTTGTACAAGTAAAAGACAAAATCTACTTATACGTTTGATTAATGGTTAGTTGATGTACTATCAATGTTTATCATTGACATGATAAAATTTATATGATCAAAATAATGATATTACACATATCACTTGTCTAAAAGTGATGATGTGTCATATATAACGTTTTCGTAGCGATAATGTATTATTGTCCTGTGTTTAAAGTAGTAACATAAAATATATCACGTCTGGGAATGAATTCATGATTTTGATATCAATTTTAAGATTAAATTAAAGATAAGAAGATTAAGGTTTAACTTTTATAATTTTAACGTTGTCAAGACCTAAAATGTATTTAAACAATAAAACATACATTAACTAATAATTACTATTTACCATGTCTCCACTGCAAAGTAAGTATTTATTGTGCAGACATTTGGTTTAATGACGGCTTAATGTTGTTATTTTTTGGGTGAGTAAATAATATTCGTTGACTCTCAAATTAATAAATAGGAAAGTAGAAAAGATTAATCAAGTGAATTATTTAAAAGAGATCTATTAATTGATCTAATGATTTAATATGTTCATGTTATTTTATTGTGCGTGGATTCGAATTCTGATATTTATCTTAAAAATCGAATCCAACTCTATTTAACAAAAAAATTAATTATCTAAAGGTAGGATTGTTCATTAACGCACAAATCAGGTGATCTTAATGGTAAAATAATTGTTTTTTATTCCTTGAAGCCTTTGGTTCGAGCACCATGAATGCCAAAAGTATGAGCATTCAATATTAAATGGTTGAGAGTTGTCTTTGAACATATATTACATTGTACTTCTCTCATATTAATAAAAAAAGTTGTTAATATATATATATATATATATATATCAAATTATACTATTTAAAAATCACATGAAAAATATAAAACTTCGAAGTAATTAAAAATATAATCAATTTTAACATAAAAATAAATAATTTAAAATATTATTGTGAAATAATTTTAAAAAAATGAATTTATAATATTAGATTAAAATAATTTGAGAATCAAAAATAAAAAAATTAATTTAAAATAAAAGATACGAAATTATATCTTTAGGTATACATGAAGTCGAGTATTGTATATTGTGACCGAACTCGTAAATCCGTAAAAATCAGATTGAATATCTAATCTAAAAAATATTAGAAAATACTCAATTATTTTTATTTTAAACACTCTACTTAAAGATGAATCATTAATTATGGAATAATAATACCATGCTTATAATTACGACTTTAATCTTAGTTAATTATTTTACCAAAGACGTTTGATTGTTCCTCATAATTACTATTAATATTGTTTTTCCATTTTAAACATATTTTAATATTTTATAATTACAACATGTTAAGGAGAAAATAATAATAAACGTTTGGTGACCAAAGTTAAAGTGATATAATGTATTGTTTTATAAACATAAACTATCATTTTTTGTATGTTTTAGTATCTAAATTTTTAATATTTTCAAAATTATACCTAATGTTTAGTTTTTTTTATTTCATTTTAGTACCTAGTCATTAAAAACTTAACGGGTGATTTGCACGCAACACTTTTTTTTATTGGTAAATTGCATCATTCATCACTCAACTATCTTCACACTCATATTTTGACCATTAAAATTTAATTTTTTAACAAGGAAACTATACCAAATCCAAACCAAAAACAAGAAATCTACACCAAACACCGCCATTTAGAAAAACCACAGGTCCAACAGAAACTTTCGAACAATCCTTCATCTTCAATCGGACAACATCCTTAATCAAAGGAAAATACCATCAACGTGTCGAGGCTTAGTTCCATGCAGCCTTCCATTTCTTTCCTGCCAAACATAATAAAGATAACTACACCAAGCTAGTCGAATAATTGTAGGCCGCAAAGACGTACCCCTCCCATGATCCATCCAACCATTCATAGGCATATTAACAAGATAAATTTGCCGAATTCACACCAAATTTGACTACAAAACTACAATTAGTAAAGAGATGATCTCTGGATTCATTCTCATAACCATAAATACAAAAAGTAGGACCGATTCGAAACCCCCAAGATAACATACGAACCTTTATCGACATACGGTCTAGCAAAACAAGCCAAGATATAAACGAGTGGGGTATGGAGAACCCAAAAAAAAAACAATTGTAAACCAATGGACCTTAACCCTCTTCGACCTAAGTACTTGTCATACCTTGCTTTAAATTCTCTATCAAGACTTCCAACAAGAGCATAATCATCCCTTATCTTAAGAATCTTCTTCCATGCCTAACTATGACTACTCTTAATAGGAACTTGCCAAAGGGAATTACCTTTCAACCCAAGCTCTATTCCAACTCATAATATATTTCAGCCCAAACCCCCTTCACACTTAGGATAGCAAATATTCTCCCAGCTAACTCGAGCACCCCTAGCTGAGCCGTCCGAACCGTTCCATAGGAAAACATTACATAACCCTTCAACTTCATAACTTTAGAAGGGAAAAAAAATTATAGCTTGAATAAGATGCAACCTCCATGCAAAAGATAAGTACTTCGAAGGCCAACTAAGAATTTCCCCCGCAATTCTATCAATCAACCCGTTACAATCCAAGTGGGAAATTCCTCAAAACACGAGGAACCCCAAGTATCTAACAATATATTTTTATTAAGTTACATGAATATAAACATGATGAATCAAATGGGGTGAGTGAGGGAGTTGTGTATAAAAATTTTAATTAAATTCTCATATATTTAAAATTTTATATTTTTTATTAATAATATATTTTTATCCATTTAAATTTTTATAAGTTGGTTTATTTTAAAATTTTATAAATATACTTTTAAACATAAAATCTTGTATTTATCTGTGAATACAAATTAAAGGTTAAAAGATATTGGGAGGAAGATTCCCACCATCCCCCATCACATCTTGTTTTGTTTCTAAGAAACAGTTTAAATTGTAAGCAAGTGTACGGGGGAAGGAATGAAGAAGATAAGTTATTTCTTGTTCACCTTCTGATTTAATGCTTCGACCGACAATGGCTATAAATAATACTATAATTTATTTCTTCGACTTGAACCTGTGACAAGTGTAAGATCGGTTGTCGGTTGTTCACCAAATTTTAATTTTCACCAAATTTTAATTTTGTAAACTAAACTAGCCAGCCTCTGTACAATTTTTTTTAAAATTATACTTAGTATTTTATTTTAATACTTTATTGTTAAAAAATAAGTAAAACTATTGATATGTTAATTTTTTATTCTTTAATGATAATATGACATTATCTTATAGTGAAATGTTTACGTCATCGTTAAATTTTTAATAGAGGGACAAAATTAAAATATTAGATATGATTTTGAGAAAAAATAGTTGAATGACCAAATGAAACCACAAGAGTATATGAATGACTAGGGATGGGCATGAGACCTGAACCCGATGAGTTTTACTTTTTTTTTAAAAATCGGGTTCGGGTTTAGGATGAAAAATATCCGACCCGAAAAAATATAATTTTACCTTATATATTTAAAATAATTACAATAATACCCCTATATATATTATTTTTCAATTGTATGACTATTTTTATTGAATACAAATAATATTTTTATTAGTTCAAGTAAGGTCGGGTCAGGTTCAGATTTTATTTCAAAAATTCGGATTTGGTTCGAATCGGGTCGGATAAAAAATATAAAATTTTCGAGTCTGGTCGAATTGGCCGAAACCTGACCTATGCCCATCCCAATAAATGATTAAGTACTTAGTTTAGCCTAAAAATATTATTCTATAAACATTTCCCACACACACGTGTGTGTATCTACATTATATACATAGCAAGTTTTACGTATGAAGGAAAACAAAATGTTTCTTTAATTGTGTTAGTAAATATTGCTTCAATCTAATTCCATGCAAATGGCGTTAACAAAGAACTAGATGGATATCCATTCCAAATCGGAATCCCAGTCGCAACTCCGAAATCTTTTCGTCCATCGACGGGGATTCCAATCGGAGACGCTGCAGCCCGGGAAGAACAAGCTTGTAAAGGCTCTTTTACCCTAACGGAAACGTTAACGATTCCGTTCTTCAGCCCCTTTGGATCCCTCAACCGATAACTCAGGAATTGTAAACAAGTCTCAGGATAAAACCCTCCGATGAAATCCGTCACCGGTATTCTTGCAACTCCGACCGTTTTATCTCCACCGCCGGAAGCCATGCATTTGACTTGGAGGGTGACGAAGCGTGTGTGCAGGGGCATGTCCATCACTAGTTTATCGTTCCACGAAGGAAAGCTCCCTCCATCTGCATCGATCTTCGTCGACTTGTAGTTACAAGTGTCGGTCCATACGACGACGAAAGCGTTCTTTTTAACCGGTTTGTTGTTGATTCTCAGATCTTCTGCTGACAAAATCGTGATCTCCAAGGTGCGAGATTTGATCTCCATAGAACAACAATTAAATAAAGAATTACAGAAGAAGAAGAAGCCGAAGTTTTTTACGGAGAATGAAACGAGGATTTAGGGTTTTGATTTGAAAGAAGACTGTTGATGAGAATAAAGGATTGATGAGGAAATGCTTTATATAGGAGGTGGTTGGTGGAAGAAGACGAGAAAGGCGGCGGAAAGAGAGAGGTTGTTTCCTTGTTGACCGTAGACTTCACAATTTCATAGTACGAATTAAAAGGGTTGAATATTAAGCGCGACTTTTGGCAAATCACAACGAAAGAACCTGCATACTTACAAGGAAGCATGCATGGAGCCCATATTGATCTGTTAGTTTTTTAAAAATTTAAATTCTTATATATTCTATAATATATTTTTACTTTTTCAAATTTATATGTTTTTTTAATTAAATTAAGATGATTACAATTATTTTATAATAAACATTCAATAATCTTACTGTAGTTTTTACTCATTACTACTTGAATATGTGATTTTTAATTTTAACAACGATTTCTTTAATTGAAGTAAGTTGATTTGTATCTATATATTCACTATTGTATAAAATATTATAAATTCATTATTTATAAATGAATTTTAGGCTATGGCAACGGGGCGGGTTTTGCTCCCCCGTCCCCGTTTCCCATCGGGTTTTTTATCAGGACGTCCCGTCGGGGATTTTTTTATCCCGACCTTGAACCCGACCCGAGAACCCAAACCCGAACCCGACCCAATCCCGAGAAAAAACCGTTTTCATAAAATATTATATATATATAATTAATATAAAATATATAAAATATTATATATATAATTAATATAAAAAATATAAAATATTATATATATATATATATAATCGGAGCGGGACAGGATACCTTACCCCGAACCCGAACCCAAATTTTTTTTCAAAATTTACCACGATATCTGACCCAATATGATATTATTAAAACCCGACCTGATCCGAACTTAATCGGGTTCGGGTTTGACTGCCATTCCTACATCCATGTATAAAGAAATTATGGATCAATTAAAATAAGCCGAATGAAGGGGCCGGGAAAGAACTCCACAAATCTCTTAATGACTAGGGATGGCAACGGGCCGGGTTCGGGCCGGGTATTGGTCCCCCCGTCCCCGTCCCCGTTTAAAAAACCGGTACCCGTCCCCGTTTAAAAAATCGCGGGGATTTAAACGGGGATCCCCGTCGGGTAATCGGGGAAAACCACGGGGAAACGGGTATCCCCGTTTAGCATAAACGGTTATTTAAACGGGTATTGGGCCGGGTATTGGGTCGGGTATTGGGCCGAGAATCGGGTCGGGTATATATATATATATATATATATTTAAATTAAATATATAAATATATATTTTTTATTTAAATTAAATTTATTAATATTATATATATATATATAAATAATTATTTTTAATATTTATCGGGTCGAGTATCGGGGCGGGTAATCGGGGCGGGTAATCGGGTAATCGGGGCGGGGATTACCAAACCCGTCCCCGTCCCCGTCCCCGTTTAAAATAAATGGGTTTTCCCCGTCCCCGTCCCCGTCCCCGTTTATCATCCCCGAACCCGACCCGTTTAATTCGGTTTTCGGTTTTCCCCATCGGGTTCGGGTTTTTTTGCCATCCCTATTAATGACGATCACTTGCATAAATCAGCAGGGCGTCGTCAGCAGCACTTTGTGATTAATATATATTTTGGATTGGCTGAAAGTAAATATGTTGGTTATTTATTGGTCAGTAAATTTTGATAATGTCTGCCTGCTGAGCGCAGACCGCCGGGTCAAAGCTGGTGATCGCCATTGAAATTTCATCGCACGTAATAAATAATTCAATAAATGTGGAAAATCATCGTCCTTTCGATTAATATATATGATCATGACATATCTTTCTTTTTTGAAAATAGATATTAAATTCACGTTCAAAAAAATAAAAAAAGAAGTGAATAATTTAAGGTTTAGTGGTCATCATCGACGATGGCCAATGACGATGAAGAAATGTTTTGGTTAAATTCAATAATCAAATTGATGTTTTATTTAAAATTTAGAGAAAAAATGATATTTTATTTAAACTTCAAAAAGTTAAATTAGTATTTTATCTAAAGTTTAACAATTAAATTTAAAAATTATCTTTTTACTAACATATGGCATAATAAGATTAACATAAATTAATAATAATTTTAACAATTATTGCCATGCAGGAGGAGAGCTCGGGTTTGATTAGTCAATCTCTGTTTAGGGACATGGAGGAGTTCACTGATTTTTTGGGAGTTGTTGGGCTTGTTGATCATGCTTTTGTTGGTCCTCTTTTTACCTGGACTAACCGTCAGGAGGGTAGTTTGCTTGCTAGGAAGCTTGATCGAGTGGTTTCTTCTGGTTCTTGGATGGCTTGTTTTCCTTGTGCTAGGGTGGAGTTCCTTGCTTATTCTCCTTCCAATCACTGTCACGTTTTCCTTGTGCTAGGGTAGAACTCCTTTAACTAGCAATCACTCTCTTCAGGGCTTGGATGATAAAAATCCTTCTTTCTCTTGCAAAAATAAAACCCAAAGCTTGAATCTTCAAAATGATGTTGCTGGGGGTTATTAGGACGAAAATAAAGTATGATAAAAGGCTTAAATTCTTATCTTGCTATGGAATTTGGAGAAAATGAAGGAAGAAGAAGTGAAGAAGAATAAATAAATTGAAGACAAATATAATGGGATATAAAACCCTCATCTTTGCAAAACGGGGAAAATGCACAATGAGTCTTTCCTTGTTTTTCTACAATTTAAAATCCCCTTTTTATGGCTAATTAGGCCCAAATTCAAACCCAATTAAGCTCAATGACTTTACTTATGACTTTCACGAGGTGCAATTATCTCTCCAGTAAACCCGAAACTACTAGTCCGAAATTTGGGGTGTTACAGCTCGTGCTTGAACTTGAAACATCCAGAGATAACAATCATCCCTTTAACTACTGAAGTAGCTTGGTTCGTGCAAAAACATAAATTCTTAAACATATTATCTTTCATCAGAGTATGTCTCAAGTATTGTAATGGGCATGTACTATCATAACCCTTTTGAAATATCGAGTCGTAAACTCTATTTTAGATTTATGTATTTTGGAGACTATTGTCGAGAGCTCCCCACATTTTGTAAACATATATACTTGGTATTTTATTATGTCCTGAATTTATGAATGCATCTAAATGATTTAAAAAAAAACGGTTAGCCACTTAGGTGATTCTGTGTAATATCATAATCCCCCAAATTTTAGGTTGGATCGAGTTAGGGTGTTACAAGGGACGTTCCATGTTTAAGGGATAAGATTGAAATTAGGTACACCGAAGAGACTTTCGAGAACGTATCAGAGACAATATTTAATGTTCACACTCGTACTCAAGATTATTTTTAAGATTTAAATAGTAAAAAAAGATATAGATGATTTAAGATCTAAAAAGTTGGTAGACTAACTAATTTGTCCCGAAACTCTAATGTTCTAATATTTGACTTTCAAAGTGCTTGACAATCTACTTCATCATCTTGTTATGAAAGAAATTAAAGTACTTATCCCTTCGTCTAAACCACTTGGGAGGAATAAATTAAATCCAAATTGTGTTGAAGATTTAGTTTACATCTATTACAATCTCTGTCTTTTATTAAATAATTCTAATCTCTATAAACTTTAATGAATATTTATGATCTTTTATTTTATATTTCTCATACCCTTATCGTAACCATACCTTATAATTTTAAAAATTACCATTTCTTGTTGCTGAACTCGGTGCAACATAGTATATAACAATAAAAATAATTTCGGTCAAAATATAAGCCATAAATTTAGCTTAATCTCATTCATACTAGAATATGCTAGCAAAATCATATTTAATTTTTGGTTTAAATATATCAAAGATATCTATATTATTCAAAATTTAAAATGTAATCCTCGAATTTCAATTTCATGACATTGACTCCCTTTATTTGAAAATATTAATCCCTTGACTAGTTTATGCTCAATTTTACCATTATGACAGTAAATGGATACCTATGAATACATGTGTTCTATCGTTTACCAATCTATGACATTATCACAATAAACAGGCCCAGATGCTGCAACACAGTTTTGCATTATTACCACGATAAACAGGTACCTGTAAATACTGTTGTTCTGTCTTTTACCAATCTATACCCAATTCTCTAGAAAGGAAGAGTCTGTCAATGTACAAAATGACGGGACCGGAAGCTGCAACATAGTTTTGCATTTGAACTCTCGCGGATGCCTCGTCTTCATTTAGTTTCTTCATTAGCTGTGCCTTTGAAGGGAGGGCATACATCCCAGCAGCTACTGCTTTCCTGATCGCCCAGCCATGGTGGGGTGCAAAGACCTGAGCATAGGCCTTGGAAGCTGGATCTTTCAAGGAATTACCCTCTGTAGCCAGAATTTGTTCAAATAGTACCCTGACCATGTCAAGACCACGTTTCACTCTCAAAAGGTTTCTTGTATGACTCCCGGCTTTCCTAACGCAATTCCCTTCTATATCCCTATCAAGCATTGCATTTAGTGTTGCGATCGACTTTGATGCCTCTGCAAGATCGCCAACCTTTGCAACATAATCCATTTCCGCAAACTTGAAGGCAATGCCTAAACAACCGAAGAGAGGAGAAACGAAAGAACATGCACGTGAAAAAGGGGCCACTTCAACATCAGCCGTTTGCGAGTTTACCGTGGCAGCAAGTTCCCTGAAGGCATCAGCCATTTTTCTCAGCGTCTTATCGCTATCCACATTTGCCATTTCTGATCTGTCTCTGATCCTTCATATTTCAAAATATTTTAATCTTATAATCACTTTAAAAAACACCAATGAAATCTAACATGTTTGGAAGAGAGACAACATAGTAACATTAACAAACCCTATATTCCAAGTCTAAATTAACACAAATCGATCATCTTCTTACTCTCAATCCTTCACATTCCTTTTCAATAATCTTACCAGGTCCTAAAGTGCTGCACTACGACTTTTCAAATCACAATTTCATGCGCTTTTCATTTTACAGTTTATTCTCTCCCAAAACAACAAAATGCCAAAATAAGAGTTTGAGCAACACGATGTACAACGTGAAAAAAATGAAGTCAAACAACAATCAGATCTACCACACGAAATTTCTCAAGGATTTTAATTAGGCAACTCAAAAAGTGAAATAAGAGAGGAAAGCAGTTAAATTAAAAGATTATATAACCCTAAATTCCCTTCCCTATCACATATTTTCACGGAAAACTAATCAAAGAGATATGAAAACGTAACATTAAAAAGAATAAAACAAAAAAAAATATGTTGATCAGAGTACGAATCTACCTTCTAAAGCTTCGATTACTTGATTTTGGGAAAGCCGAAACCCTAGTCAGAGCCTCTGCTATATTTTTGCAAACGGGACCAAAATGAAAAAGCTCGCGAGAATGAGCGTAATGACTCTGGTGTATTCTCAAGTCCTTCACGTTTGGGATATTTGTGGAAGTGGCAATCGTAGATTCTATAGAATAAATGGTTTAATTACTAGTTCGGTCCTACTTCTATTCCAAATATCATTTTAAACTACTTAATTGAATAAAATTCTCAACTAAATATATTTTTATTGAAAAATAAAATACACGTTTTAAAATATAATTCAAATTCATTTTCAAAAAATGAAAAAAAACCTTTACAATGAAAGAAATAATTTTGAAAATATATCTTTATACAACGAGTCAAAACGTTGATACGCATATAAATATTTATTAATATTTTTAATTTTACAGATCACGATGAATAAACAATCAAAAAATAATAAAAAATATATACATATTTATGTGAAAATTCTATAAAAAATCACAACTAGAGAAAATTACACTAAAATAAGTGATAAAATATAAAAAAAAAATTATACTAGATTATATCAAATATTGAACCCTAAATATATACTAATTTGTATGAAAATAGTACCTAACATGATAACCTTAGTACACATCCTTTTTTTTTTTCTTTCAATTTATTATTTCAGTAAGCGAAATGTGTTATAAACTTTTCAAATCAAATTAAATAAATTCAAATCGTGAATTATAATATATATGATAAAGAAGTCTGTGGATCCATATGTACTAAAATAAATAATAAAAAATTTAAGTTAAAAAGGATAGGAACTTTCATTGAGATAAGAGTTTGCTGTCAAGGAATCACTTTTTTATTATTATTTTAAAGTTTAATTACATGCTCTATCTTGTATATTGTATAATATAAAATACAGGCATTTCTGGAATGGACTTGAAAGTTGAATCATAATTTTATAGGGGCTACTTTGTAATATTGATTAATTACATCAACGATGTTTCATTTAAAATCTTAATAATTGTGCAACTGGTGTTTGCACATCAACATAAAATATCAAATTTCCAACAGTGAAACTAGAACTACGTACTACATGGGAAGAAGGCTAAATCATCATGTTTAACGACCCACATTCATGCTTGAATAAGTTACTGAAGGTTCCTCGGAGCCAGAGGTGACCGATGGTAATGATACATGATACATGGGAACCGGCATCTTCACCGGAAGATTAGGCAACGGTGACTCCAAATAAAGAACTTGAATCGCTCGCCTCATCGATGGCCTCGAATTACAATCGGGATGAGCACACCACAGCCCCACAATCATCAAACACAGCACTTGTTTTTCATCAAAGTCCTTGTCCAACTTGCCGTCGACTGCCGAAATCAGCTCTCTTTTCGCATAAAGACCCCAAATCCACTCGACCAATCCAATGTCGGATTTTGTTCTGGGATCAACGACTTTCCTTCCGGTTGCGATTTCTAAAAGACCACTCCAAAGCTATAGACATCTGACTCCTTACTGGCCCTACCTGTGCTTATGTACTCTGGAGCCAAGTAGCCAAAAGTTCCAGCCAATCCAGTTGTTTTAGGACTTATCTCATGGTCCATGAGTTTAGCCAACCCGAAGTCACCGAGTTTGAAATTGAAACTGGAACCAAGCATTACATTGCTCGATTTTACATCTCGATGCACCACACACTGCTCCCATTCCTCGTGAAGATAGAGAAGAGCCGATGCCAATCCGAGCGATATTCGGTATCGTACGGGCCAAGTAAGCGGACTTCTTCTACCAAAAAGGTGGGAATCAAGGCTACAATTCGGCATGAATTCATAGACAAGTATGAAATTGTTTCTGTCATGGCACCAACCAATTAGTTGCACCAGATTCTTATGTCTCAACTGGCTAATGACCTTCACTTCAGTTACATACTCCTTTTCCCCCTGTCTGGATCCACTCGAAATCCTTTTAACAACAACCGGCATATCTAAATCATTCAGGTAACCTCTATACACTGAACCGAATCCTCCTTCGCCCAACTTACGGTGTTCGGAGAAGTTATCGGTAGCCGAGGAGAGATCCGTAAAAGAAAACCTTCTTGGTCCAGCTCCTCGTTCGAGATCATCATTCATTGATGTCAAGTTTGTTGTCACTGGTGTACTCTTTGTCACATGCTTCTTCCTCCACCATATTATAAACACTACAATCGTCCCGAATATCATAAGAACACCGACCGGAACTACGACACCAATAACTATTCCAACATTTCTCACGCCGCCGGCTCTTGCTTTCTCTTCGACGGTTAAACTCGAATTGAATTCCCAAGATTGGAGTGTGTTCTGCTCTACATACTTACCAGTAGCAGCTGAAAAACCAACCATGATCCACTCAGGTAAAACCGTCATGAGATCAATCTGATGCGAAAGACTCTAAGTCTCTTTCGGATCATTCGACGTCTGATAGCTCCAAGACACGGTCAAGTCCTTGGTCGTAGCGTTGTAGTTAATGGTCACATCCGCCGTCTGACCATTACGAAAGCTAGCGTTCCACCTGGTTTAGTTCGCCGAAGAAATCGAGTTCACGTTGATCCCGACGTGACTACCGACACCGGGCGGATCCCATCTGGTTTCGTTGTTTTCGTACGTGTCGAACTCTACATGAACGATTTGGTTCCAAGGTGAATCGCTGGTTGTAGTGTTGAACAATCCCAGAAAGCCGCCACCTGAATTCGGGGGGATCTGAGAGCCAACAGGAGCAAGAAAGAAGGCAAGTCCATGGCCATAAGTTGGATCGAACATAGAAATGGAGAAGGAGAAGCGGGTGTTAAAGTCGGCAAGCCGTCGAGTTCTCGAGTCCCACAGTGGCACCTTGTCGACGTATGTCTCCCATCCGACTCGGTATAGATAATCGATGAGGTTGAACTCGATGGTTCCGACCGCAGGTCGTGCATCACCTTGGTAGGAAATGTTGTTTGTGTTTGAATCGAAGCGAGATATTTGGAAGTTCATTGAGTTGGCAAAGGGAAGAGCGGAAAGGAATGGTATCAGAATACACAATTTAAGCGAGTTGATGATCCCAGACGCCATGGATGAGAAGTATAAGGAGAGAGAGAGTGCAGCATGTATAAAACAAATTTCTACCTTTAGAATCCGCAAATGCATTGTTGAACACAAACTGCTGCAAGAACCGTTTGAAGACACACAATTGGTTAGTTTCCATTTGAAGATCAAGTCAACAAAATAGATTACTAAAAGAAAATTGATTTACGGGAAGACAGATAGACAATATGCATAGCTCATTGATAGTTATGTATAATAAAATCAAACCAAATGATAATGTCACTAAGTATTTTATTTTTAGAGAAACTACGATGAACATTAAATAATTATAAAATATTAAAAAATTATAAAAATATATTTAAATTATTAAAAAAATGTAAAAACTATAAAAATAAAACTTATATGAATATTTGTAAAATCATATAAAAAATCATTAAAAATCCTTTATATGTTTGTTCATTTGATTCAATTTAATAAAAAAATAAAAAATTAAATGATTTTTTAAAGAAGTTCTAGGATAAAAATGTCATTAAACATTTAATTAATAATATCCGCATACAATCGTCGAGTTTGCTTAATTATTAACCCAAAATTTAATGACACATGGTCCCGGCAGTATTCTCCCTTTTCCCTCTATATTTTCTATGCTACGTTGGGGGTGAAGTCAGAAAGAATTTTTGGGAGGCTCGAAATTAAAATATAATTTTGGTAGATTCAGGAACACATCAAGCTACAGCTTGTTAGAGGTGTTTAACTCGAGTAATTATATTTTTAGAGTGTGTATATGTTATCAATAATTAAAAAAATATAAATATATATTATTTTATAATCACTTTATAAAAATTTAATTTCAAACTGTTAAACATATATTTTGATATAACAAATAAGAGTAAAATATTTTTGAACTTAATTGAATTTGTTTAAATGATTCAAAAATAATTCAAAGTCTAAATTTATTTAAAAAATATATTTAAATGTTTTTTCAACTTAGTCGAACCTTCAAAAAATACTCGATCGTTTTTACGATTTAAAGTCAAGTTTCCAAGCATTTTGGTTCAAAGGATCGATCTCTTAGCAAAATGATTGATCTCTTTGACCAAAGAAACCATCTTTTCCTGGTAGGAGTTTTGCTTGGTTCATCCTCTTTTCTCTTCTCCACTCCCAGTTTTAACGATTCCAGTCTTTTCCTGCACAAACTAAATGTAAGATATACCAGGAGCAAACGTTTAAAAAAACTGCGAAAAAGTGCAGGGTTCCATTCACAACATGGAACCCCTTATTGTTTTCTAGATTAAAGGAAAAAAAGAAAGATGGGGAAAACAGAAGAATGAGTATGTGATTTATGGGATGGTGCTATTAGACAAACAGTGTCTGGCAAAGAAAATTCTTTGTAAATCGGAAACATTACTTGGTATCCGTAAGTCGACCGTGCAGGCTCCATCTTTGTTGAAATCCTTCAATGCCTTCCCTTCCACTTGCTAGAATCAAGCGCCTACAGGATAGATGTAACACATGCTTCAGTTCCAGTGATAATCAAATAGTTCTATATCACACTGCTATGGTTGACAATTAGGGGGGGGGGGGAAAGGATGATAATGAGAAAACGGCCAGTTAACTGGTAACAAAACTTGTATAACACCCAAGTCTTCCTTTTTCTTCAAGTATCTGTACCCAGCATTTAATTCAGGTATACTGTTGTCATTCACATATCCATATTTGACACTAGCTCTTAACGTAGGATGAAACGGTTTCTCACAGAGAACATGTTGTTTCCCGTCTTTCTCTTTTACTTTTAAGTTTATTTCCATCCAAGATGCTTCATAGCTAAGAGGGAAGAAACATTGGTGAGGTACTAATTTTGATATTTAATTTTCATAGAGAAGACATCAGAGAGGTTGATATTTGCGACTTCTGCTCAAAGTTTTATGGACATTGAGAAAGCTATTTACTTTTAGGATGAGTGCTAAAGAATCTTGATTCGAAACCAGCAAGTAATAATTTTTGGAAGGGCAATACTTTAGGATTATAAAGATTCATGGATTCTTGCACAAGACATAATGATATCCTAACCATTTACCTCTCCAATGATGTGACTTCTGATTCAAGCTTCCCCACTCTATCCTTTGCTTGATCGAAAGGCATTGACAAATCCTCAAGCCGTTGCCTTAGTTCCTTGTCCTAAAACTCAGATTTCCAAACAAACTTGAGGAAGCTAATTCTTTGTCCGGAATAACCATTAGAAATCTTACCCTCTTTTCAGCACATTGTCGATATAATGCAAGCTCATCTTGACAGAATGGCTCGATATCATTGATCTGCAGACCTACGGTATACCGCATAATTAAGAAAATAATCAATAATGTCACCAAAAGGAATGCAGATGTAACATCAGCCGATCATTATTATACAAAGTTAACCCTTTTACATGTGATTGTCAATGAAAAGTATGACTTACACATATAAATTTCGTTAGATCCCATCACATAACTCCACGCCTTCAAGCACATGAGATGCAATTTCTTGTGGGATGACAGGAGATGGTGGCCCATCATTAGATCATCGCCGACCAATATAGTTTCCTCCATTGTTTGTTGTGAATCAACTGAAAACCCGCAGCAGGTAAGAACAAAAGTCACTCATGAGCATTGGCCATTCATGGTTTTAAACAATAAATAGTATCAGCAGAAAGAAAAACTCATGTGTCTAGGCAAAGACATAAGCAATGTTTATATACCAGTTAACAATTATTAGGTACAATTTCAACTCGAAAACGAGAACTGTGTTCAGTCATGCTTCTACATATAACAAAGAAATGAAAAATCTTTCACGGTTCAATTAAATTTACAAGATAAAAAGCAATTTACTTTGAATTCAGAAAACATAAATCAAACAAAGTCTTTAATTACGGATGCAATAACAGACATGTAAACTAAGAAAAACCTTCACATACCATCCATGTCTGGTTCCAGTTAGGGTTCCACCCAGATAGAACTTGGATAGAGTTTTTGTTGAGATTCAGTTAAACCCTGTGAAGTAAAAAAAAAAAATAGAATCAACAGAGTTTCTGATCCCTTCTTGCTGGAGAAAAAACCAAGTAAAAATCGGGCCTTTAAGAGGTCTGTAAATCCCTTAAAAATTGGGCTTACTCCAGTTGTGGACTCAAAGATATTTCAAAGCCTATTTCTCTCGGGTAATCCAGTACTTGCACTTTTCGCTCTACTCCTCGCAATTACTATTCCTTTGATTTAAGCACTTTGGGTAAATGGCTTAAGAGATTCAATTGATCGGTAGTGTGAATTGAGGTAAAGATGGAAGGAGGGCATGGAACTGAGGATTTCAGGACGAAGGTGTGGAGCATGTCGTGAGTTCCGTACTGCCGCCCCAAGCACTGGCGTCGCAACACTGCCATTGCTATGTTCGGCGTTTTCCTCATCTGCACATAAAATTTTGTTACTTAATATGCATGGATATTAATTGCAGACATGGATGGTATACGTCTCTGCTTGTCGTCTTAATTCAAAATAATTGCAGCTATTATGTTTTCTGTTTCCAGATCCATTTAAGCTGCAAAAAACAAGCATTTATTCAAAATCAGATTTCATTAACAGATGCAATTCTTAAAACCCACACAGAATTTAAACAAACAGACAAACCAAAATCTGTTTAAAGACTATGATCACGAGTGAAAGATTTCTCTTCTAGTAGCTTAAAAAAAGGAAATTCAGAGATTTGGGCATTAATGGCTAACAGCCTAAATATCAACATAAACAACATGTATTAGATCTAACCCACCATTTTTTGCGACGATGAAATAAATTTTTAGTTCTGGGAAATCCTATCTCGAATTCATATCATTTTACAGACAGATTCTTAATGTTTCAGTGATCATATAATCATTGATTTTAACTTCCACTGGCAATGCAATATTTTCCACAATGTCAAAGTGGTTCAAGTTTTGGCCTTGTTTGTAAAAGGAGACCAAAACTTCGTATAAAAGCAGACATACATATTAACCCTTTGGTCTTTTAAGACGAGACTTACCCAGTAAAGCTTTTACGCCGACACTCACTCCTTTCAATCCCGAGTTAATGGATTCATCAATGGATGGCAAGGTAGAACCCCAAAAAAAGCCTGGTTTCTTCGTGGCCGTCCATGTTGGCGCCGGATACCACGCCCCTTCCAATGATAAAGTTTTAAGGTCGGCTATGAAACGCGCTTGCCTGGCTGCTGCTTCCGTTCTCCGTGAAGGTCCCGGTGGATCTGTTGATGCTGTTGCCGCGGTTATTCAAGTGCTCGAGGTAAATAAAACCCAATTTCTCTTTCTTTCCTTTTCTTTTTCCTGACAAACTACTGGTCATTTGGTAGGATCCATTTGAATTAAAAATAGTTATTTTTTTTGGGTAAAAGGATGATCTCAGCACTAATGCCGGCAGAGGTTCCAATTTGACTGAAGATGGTTATGTGGAATGTGATGCAAGTATTATGGAGGGTCAGTCTGGTGCATTTGGGGCTGTTGGAGCTGTGCCTGGTATTTGTTTTTTTTTTTTCTTCAAATTTTGTGTTTTCTGTTGAAGTTACTCGGTATCCATTTTGTTAAGTTTTAGACCAGGTGTTCCAAATGCTATTCAGATTGCTGCTTTGTTAGTAAAGGAACAACTGAAAGGGTCTCCTTTGGTGGGTCGAATACCTCCCATGTAATTAACAACTGCTTGCTCTTACTACTATTGAATTATTATAAGCTCATAGCATTCCTCTTTTGTAAAGTTTTCATTTTTATTGCTGTTGCTATTGTTTCCGACTATGGCCTTTTTTATGTTTCCCCAAGGTTCTTGGCCGGTGAAGGTTCTCGTCTATGGGCAAAATCTAAAGGCATTGCCTTGCCTGAATCTATGGTTGAGGCTAATCAGGTGTTTGGTTTTTCCTGCAATTTTGTATTCATTTTTCTTCTTAATAGTTCTTATTCAATGTATATTTTCCGATAGATCGATTGTTTCTTTAGTAAAATTTTCTTGTTACTACTTCAAAATAGTGGTTGGTGACACCGAAGGCAAAATCACAATTGAAGCATTACAAAGCAATGCTACTTTGTGCCGAGACTGAGATTGATGCTTCTTCTGAAGGAATCCTTGTAATGCACAGCACAATGCATCAACACAAGGTATTCAACGGTTCTTGGATATTAAAAACGATTCCTTTTTTCCATTTCCGAACGAATAATACCTTTTCATTGATTATATTTAATATCTTTACATGCTTATAGATTTGACCTCTTATTGCTCCTTGCATTTTCTTCCTGGAACACTATGTTCTTCTTGTTGAACCCATTTGTATATATTGAGATTTGCCCCACTTAAGTTCGGAATTATGTTTCATATTATAAGCTTTTACAATATTGTTTAACTGAAATTGTGCATCTGTAAGTCAGCCTCGAACGCTCAAACTTGTGATACCTTGGAGGAGAACAGTGGTGGTCAATCATGTATGTTCAGCCCATCAGAGGAGGACCATATCATGGTCACCGTTGGACTTATTTGTGTTGACACTGAAGGAAATATAGCATCAGGAGCCTCTAGCGGTGGTATCGCACTGAAGGTGATAATTACCTGTTGAATTTGCATTTCTGAATTTCATTCTTCTTGGAGGCTATATAATTAATGAGACATGTTCCCCACAAAATTATGGCAGGTCTCCAGTCGTGTGGGATTAGCAGCAATGTATGGTTCAAGCTGTTGGGCCTCATCGAAAGGACCCTTTGGGGCTCCTTTCATAGTTGGTTGTTGTGTTACCGGTGCCGGAGAACACCTAATGAAAGGATTCGCAGCTCAGGAGTGCTGTGTCTCATCATCACTGTAAGATTCTTTAACAAAGATACGTCCCCTTGCATGACAAAAGTTTCAGTTGTCTTAAAAAATGGACCTTGATAAGGTTACTTTAATGCTTAGTTCACAGGCAGGTCCTGCCTCTGCTTGCACGAAAGTTCTCCGTCCCATTGCTCACGATAGCGGTCACGCAGATACCGATAAAAGTGCTGGGATTTTACTTGTGCAAGTCGATGCTCGTATAAACGTGAGATCCCAATCAAACCGCAATATATATTTTTCTTATTACATATATCGATATAGTGTTTACATGTGGATTTATCGGTTTAGGTTCCAGGAAATCCTGCAAAACTGAAAGCCATAGAGATTGCTGCTGCTTACTCTTCCTTGTCATTTGGGATAGGATATTTCGGTAGTGCCATGGAATGGCCCATGGCATGATTCTTGCTACTTATTAGAGTTGAAATATTTATTAATCTCCATGTGTTTATATTTTTCATTTCTCAGGTTTCGATTCTTAGGAGAAGTAAACAGCAGAACAGATCTGGAATGGATCATTTTGAAGCTCGATTTGATCTTTCTACTGAAAATTTTCCTCGACTATTTTGTTTTTCTCAGGATAAATTGTGATATCAAATTTCTCCGGTTTTCTTCTTCTCATTGGGATTGTGTTTTATTATTTTCCAATGTACTATAAAAGAAAGTACCAATGCCATAAATGGTTTTCTTGCAAGTAGATTGCCGATTAATGGTTAATATCAATGAATAAAACAATTGTATCAGAGATCGAATCGATATAATCTTAGTGGCTTTCGTGCTATTTTTTTTTCTCAACGTGATCCCTCCAATTCAGAAAAAGAATTCAATGTGATCTTCTGTTCAACGTTTTCCGTAATTGATCAACGGCTTTGTTAATTCCTGTAGACGTGGATGCTTTCTCAAATATGTTACGAGAGGAATATTGCTTGTGGATGTTGGTAGAGACGGAAATAACGAGTTTTCAATTGCATACGTAGTTGTTGAAGGGGAAGGAAAAGAATCATAGAAATGATTTTTGCATAAATTTATGGTTGACTTAGAGCATCCTAATGGCGAAGGATTTATACTAATGTTAGTGAAATATTAATCAAATTATCAATTGATTTTTTTTTTTTTTTTGAGTTGGATGATCACATTGAGAGAATAGATTGTACGAGGGTCACATTATTTTTTAAAAAGTACAAGGTTTTGCGTATCTTTTTGCCTATAAAATTTTTGTATAAAATGATAAAATCGAAGGTTGTTATGGTTGCATATATTAAGTCACGTGCTCTTTTTACTTATAATAAATTAATATTTAATTTATTATTATATTAGATGATTTTTAAATTTACGTGTTATTTATAATCACTCCGCATTATTAAAAAAATATTAATAAATGTATTGAGATATTGACTCATTATGATTTTATACATGCTAGATAACACAAATCATGGACGCCTAGCTTCTCTCCCATCGAATGATATTCCCTTCTCATTTAGTACATTTAAGCTTCCCAAAATATTAGCATGTCCAATCACGTGTCCGAAATTACCAGCTCAACCCCATCAAAGAGCAAGAAAAGTGCAAAGTGCCCAATTATAAGACGGACATTTACCACTTGTATTATAAAGACAGAGCAAAGGGAAATTGTCCCGATCATCAGCTCTCATTTGTCAGAACACACCACAAACCAGGGTGGGCAAGTTGCCATTTCTGTTCTTGCCCAACAGTTCCTTTGTTTGATCAACCACCCAATTTTTTTTCAACCAAATTCTAGCCATAAAACACAGACAATGGCATTCACAGGTACTTTGGACAAATGCAAGGCTTGTGACAAGACCGTCTATGTGGTTGACATGATGACCCTTGAAGGTGTGCCCTATCATAAGACCTGCTTCAAATGCACCCACTGCAAGGGCAAACTCGAGGTAAATTTTGATATTTTCTAGTCGTTTTCGTCGATGTCTCGGTTATCTAATCTCGAACGATAACATATTCGATGTCTCGATCTTTGTCTTCGGTAGATGACCACTTACTCTTCCATGGATGGAGTCCTTTATTGCAAGCCTCATTTTGAGCAACTATTTAAGGAATCTGGCAATTTCAGTAAAAATTTTCAATCAGGTAAAATTTGTATCTTTTATTTATCCTAATTCGAATATCATCCACCTACATGGCTAGGGCTAACGATGTCGATTTTATTTTATTACAATCTTTACAGCGAAGTCCGACAGAAAAGATGATCAGGTATATATGATTTATAATTTTGGTATAATTAGAATATTTTAAGTTGAGTATTGTAATATGCAATTTGTGAAAATAAATTGCTGCAGCCGAGGACTCCCAGCAAACTTTCATCCATGTTCTCTGGAACCATAGACAAATGTGCTGCTTGCGAGAAAACAGTGTACCCTCTGGAAAAGGTTACCATGGAAGGTGAATGTTTCCACAAGACATGCTTCAGGTGTGCCCACGGCGGGTGTCCGTTGACGCACTCGTCGTACGCGGCGCTCGAAGGCGTGCTGTATTGCAAGCACCATTTCGCTCAGTTGTTCATGGTGAAAGGAAATTACAGCCACGTTCTCCAAGCTGCTGCGCACAGGAGGAACAGCTCCACCGCGTCATCCACGGACTTAGATGAGAACAACCAAGCTGATCAAGACGATGCCGCGGTCGATCAAGACGACTCCGAAGAAAACTCGTAAATAAAATAAATACTAATAATAATAATAAAGGAGGAGAAGAGGAAGAAGAGATTGATGTTATCGATGGATTCTCCTCTCATACGTGACATTTTCTTGGATCTTTTGAAAAATTGAGTACAAGTTTGATTGATTGGCTGGGCAGATGATATCAAAAAGTTGATATTTGAATACTTGGTCTGATTGTTCACGCTTTGTTTTGGGATAATCGGATTGAATTTGTTTCTCTAGTGGTTGCCGAATTGATTGATTGATAATATAAAAGAAGTATGAACGCTGAACTGTTTCCTGCTTGTTTGTCTTTAGATTTTATTTCCAAGTTGGCCTACTTAGTTCTGTGTTGTATTAAACCAATTTCACCGAGAGAAGTATTATTTCGATAATACAAATAATATATCTCAAAACTAATCTTATTAGACGGTTATAAGAGGAGATCGGAGTATCAACACGTTAAAACTTTAGATGAATTTTCGTCGATTTTGAATTAATTTCGTGAAAAAATCAATCCAAGAATAAAAAGAAAAGTTAAATACAAATATTTTGATATTGATGTTCTCACACCGATGGATGATAATTGAATGTCAATGATGATTGAAAAGTTTAATGTATAGAACTCAGACATATTAAAATTTAGGGTAAATAACTTGTTTAGTATCTAAACTATTAATTTTAGTATGTTTAATGCTTAAACTTTCAAAAAAAATTCAAAACAATACCTAACGTTTAGTTTTTACCCCGTTTTAAAACCCTGATAAAAACTTAATATTAAGTTTTGAAAAAAATGAAAGTTTAAGTACTAATACGGACAAAAATTTATAATTTAGGTACTAAATGTGTTAAAATTTTAAAGACAGATATTAAAATAAACAAAAATTAAATGTTAGGCATGATTTTGAAAAATTAAAAGTTTAGATTTTAAAACAGATCAAAACTGATAATTTATATACTAGACACATAGTTTACCCTAAAATTTAATGAAAAAATTGAAGGGTAAATTAAAGAGTTTGTATAATCCAAAAAGAATATTGTTTAGTCCATGTTAATAAAAATTGTTATTCATGTCAATGCGTCATTTATCTTTTAATTGCTCAATGATATAATATTAATTCAAAGTTCTAATTTAATACTACAATTAATTTATAATTTTCTAATAAATTCAATACAAAAATCTTAATATGTAAGTAGTCCAACCTTTAACAAAATATAAGGGGTTAGGTAAAAAAGTAAAAGAAAAAAATAACAAAGATAAATGCGAGTTTTTAGGAAATTTCATAAAAATAAGAGTAAATTATTTGAATAGTCAATAAATTATAAAAATTAATTTTATTCTTATTATTAAGTTATTTTTATAATTAAATTATTTAATTAGTAAAATATTATTAATCAAGTCACAAATTAATATTTAACGAAAATATTGTTGTGATAGTTAAAAAATTTGTACAATTATGCTTTTAATTTTTATTATTTACACATTCTATCAATTTAGTTATAATTTTAGTTTAATTCAAATAAATTTAATCCACCCAATAAGATAGTCACACATGTTGACACATATCATTATTTACTTCATGATTCTTTTAATTTTTATTTATTTAAATGTAAAATATAAAAATGATCTCCGATTATATAGTGTTGTTTTATTATATCATTCGAGTATTAAAAGTAAAAAAATGGTCATCTGATTATAGAATGTTAATTTGTTAAGTCACTCGACTATTAAAAATTACAAAATAGTCGTCTGACTATTCATTATGTTTCAAAGTCGTCATTATTTTTCAAAAAAAATGCTAGTTGTCAAAGTTTGACGTTAATATAATGACTTGGATATGATATCCATCTAAGATTCAGATATCATATTTTATCATATCACAGTTAGCAAGTTAAAGTTTAGTTCGTATTACCGCTATTTTTTTAAACGTAAAAGGACGAGTTTGAAATATAATGAATAGTCGGGTGGCAATTTTGTAACTTTTAATAACCGATGGATTCAATAAAACAATACTTTATAGTAGAAGGAACATTTTGTAACTTTTAATAGTTGAGTAACTTAATAAAATAGTACCATATAATGTGGAACTACTTGTATACTTTTCTTTTTATTTAATTTAATAAATTTAACCATGTAATTAGATGTATTATGATTTGATTGATGAAAAATAAATAAAACAATAAAGAAGAATAAATACGTGAATCGAATTTTAGAATGTAAATATTTAAACTTAAATCTAACAAAACATAGAAGAATATACTTGATCACTATTTTTTTTTCTTTTTGAATTGAAGAGTGGAAAACATTAAGCAATTACAAATGAAGAGACAAAGAATCCAATTCCAGTAGGGGAATCACTTCGGTCGGGGAAATGAGTAAGCTGATTAGATCCAGAGAACTAGGGTCGGCAGATCTGGCAATGTAGTCCGCAGGTTTATTGCATTCACGAGGAACCCAAACAATATCAATGGCCCAGGCGTTGCATCTAAGAGGGTCGATAAATCTAATCATTCACCATGTTTACAGCTTCAGCACAGTCGGACTGAATCTGCATCAATTCAAAACCTTCCTTCAGGGCACATTAAAGTCCGATGAGGAGCCCAAAGCTCGGCTTGAATAACGGAAACCTTCCCAATGGTTTTTTGGAAGCCAGATAACCAAGCCCTAGTATGATCCCGAAAAAGACCATCAATTGAACCAATACCTCATGTCGAGGAAATAGCAGCATCAACATTCAAACAGAGCTGTAAAACCCAAATTCTGGTTAGTGACTAAAATGTAAGTTTTGAAAGTTTGGTGTTAAAGTATAAAGTTTGTAAAAGTTTATGAATCAAAAACATAATTTTAAAAAGTTATATATTTTAGCCTGTAAATGAACAGTTCGACCTAAAATAAGAATTTTCGTTGTGATCAGATTTTCGGTACGGGGTTGTGTTAAAAGCTATTAAGCGATCAAGTTCGGTATATAAATCTTATAATCAGATCGAACCGGATTTTTACGAAAATTTTAAGGATGATAGATAAGTGTTAGAAATATTATTTCCATATTTATATCAGATAAATTTAGCATAGATTAGTGAAAATTTTCAGATTTGGTCGAACAGTGGAAAATTTAGTGACTAAAATGAAATTTTCAAAAATTTCATGACTCAAGTAGAAAGTCAAAGTCAAGTTAATTCATCTTTGACTAAGGAATATTTTAATGGAAGATATTGCAATGTCTTATTGTAATTATCAAGGTTCATTAATGGTAAAAATGGAATTTCTCATTAGTTGAATTTAAATTTAATTATATTGATTTTTAAGCCAAGTGTATGATTAAATCATACTAGATTATTCAAGAAAAAAAATTCAGCTTCAAACTCTCTCTTGGCCGAATCCATCATAGTTCCCCAAGGTAAATTTTATTTTTGATTTTTGAAGTTATACACTTGATTTTTGGATTAAGCTATTAGATAAAGAATTAATCTACATGAAATTTTCTATCATTTGGTATAGATATTACATGGTGAGCATGCCTATTTCATGAGATTGAGAATTAGGCTTTATGTAGGGTTTATGGATTTTGAAAGATTGATGAAAGATTATTATGTTTTTGATGTTGGAGATTAATTATAAGGCTTGTTTGATGATTAAAATCAAGTGTAGGTGTCTATATAGCTTTTGGCCATGACTAGGGTTTATTGAGATTGATTGATTTTGATTCGATTTGATGTTGTGATGAGGGGAAATGCATAAATTTGTTCATAGGAGGTTGAATTCATGCTTGAAATTGAATGAAATTCTTGCCCTTTTTCACTAGGAAGGTTTGGTCATAGGAAGAAAACTAGGAAAAAATATTGAAAATTTTCCTATGGTCTAGAATTGATATTAGAATTGTTCTATATGTTTTGGAGATCAATTTGGAAGCTTGAAATAAGAAAAGGGTTAATTTACAAATTTTGAGAATTATGGGACATTATTGCATAAATGTGATAATTGGGGTATTCAATGTTGAATTTTAATTATGCAATGCTGAATTTTAAGTTGGAAAGTTGTTTGGAACCAAATTTTAAATTTGGTAAAATTGGAAGGTGGAATTCGAAATGTCTTGATATTATAGGGACTTGATTTCAAGTTTATTAGATGTGAAAGTATTATTAGGGTAAAATATTACATTGCTGGAAATTTTATTTACATGCTGATTTTTTAGTTTATATATTGAGTTGCGATCAAATTGCAAGTTTATAAAGGCAGGTGGTTGAATTAGAAAAGTCTAAGATTAAATTGCAAGTTTTTGAATGTTAAAATATTGATTTGAGTATTTTATTAAGGTGATGAAATTTTATTAATTAATGTGAAATGATAATAATGGTGAAGGACAATTATGAATTTAATAAAAAAGTTAAGGTGAATTCTAGAAATAATTCATAATTAGTGGCTTGATTGTATATTTGGCAAAAGTTGAGAAGTTTGAAATTATGATAAAAGTGCGATTTAGTTTTATATCGATTAAGTATCAATTTTTTATAGGCTTTTATATTATCAAATTTTGATTATGTTAGTACTATACTAACATATAGTTGAATATTGTGTTATTATTATGATGTTGTGAGGCTACGAAAAATCTAGCGATCCGAACTACCCGAAAGGAAAAGGAAAAAGTCTGTGAGTAGGAGATTGTTATAAAGGTTCGGTAGTGAGGCAAATGTGAATGTAATTTATTTATTTAATTATTTCTATAATATTTTCATCAAGTTTTATGAATGATTTAGGGTATGAACTGCTCAAGTACGATTTTTATGATGATGAATTTTAAATGTTTGTGATTTTAAGACGTTGATTAATAAATGATTATATTATGATTTATAAGTCCATTATAGGTTGCATTAAGAGTCGTAGTACATTTGACATGCCATTAAGTTGAATAAATTCAAGCTAAGTTATTGTACACACGTGTACATTATGATTAGCACCGTTGGTGCTTATGTTATGATTTGCACTTGAAGTGCATCTTATGATGATTTATGATTGACACCATGATGTGCTT